CCGCCGATCTTGCGCAGTGCACAGAGGATTATGGGCTCCTGTACACGATGCTGCAGAAAGTTACTGAAGGTACTGAAGCCCTTTGATACAGCTTTTCAGATGTATTGGATGGACTCCCACGTCACACTCCCTCATGGGCAGCCATGCTTCTGTCCTAGGACTTGTAACCAATCATTAATGTCTTTTGTGGTAACAGGATCAATAAAGCTGCCTAATCCGATTTGGGCATTAAGCTATGAATTAAGGGCAGCATGGTGGGACAGTGGTTGGCATTGCTGCCTAGTAGCGCTGGGGCTCTTGGGTCAAATTCCTGGGCTGCTGTCTGCAGGGAGTTTGTATGTTCTCCTCTGGTTTGTGTGGGTTTCCTCCTGGACTTCTGGTTTCCTGCCACAGCCCAAAGACGGAGTGGGAGGTTCATCTTCTGCGAAGCTTAGCCCTGGTGCGAGAGTGTGCGTGTGCCTTGTGCTGGACTAGAGTCCCATCTGGGGTGTACCCCACCTCGTGCCTGATGCTTGTGGCCTTGCATGGGCCAAGTGTAGTTAGGAAACGGATGACTAAACTGCTCAAAACAAAGGCCAGGCTGTCCTGCTCCTGCCCTAGCCCCTTCCTACATTTCTCTCTCTCTCCTTCTGCCCAGATAAGAAGTGCCTGCTGTGCCCATCAAACTGGCGGTTTTTCTGGGGCAACTGCTACTTTTTCTCCATGGAGAACAACAGCAACTTCCTGTCCTGGAACGCCAGCGCGCAGTTCTGCGCCGAACACGATGCTGAGCTGGTCGTGATCGGGGACCGGGCAGAGATGGTGAGAGGAGGAGGGGCAACTTCCCCGTTTTCACAGCAAAATGTCAAAATGGGGGCGTCTGGCAGTTTAGAATTAATGTCATCACCAAGGGCCTGGTGCAGACAGACCTACACCTTCAGCCAGTGAGTCATCTGTGCCCTGGGCTAGGCCCAGCGCTGGCCAGATGGGAGGAAATGCAGCGATCATGCTCAACAGTGGCAGAATGGTTCCTTGAGCAGGCTCTGGTGTCATTGCAGGAGTTCATGCAGGCCACGATGCACATATTCCCAACGGTAGAATTCCTGTGGGTGGGCCTGACGGACCGCAGCTCAGAGGGCTCCTGGATCTGGATGGACGGGACACCCCATGAGCACACCACCCTGTGAGAGAGAGATCACACAAACACATGCTACCCCTTCCTAAAATCCATTTACCACTTACTTTCCTTCACCTTACGTTCATTTTCTTGTTTATTTTTCAGAAATCTTTTATAAGGCATTGCGTTTTGACAGGACAGGAAGGCCCACAGGGATGGGCTGGTGCCCTGTGTTTCTTTTTCAGTTTACGTGGTGATAGTCCAGAGGTATCAAATGCTGATATTTCCACAGGTTTTCTAGGTCTTCTTAGAGCAGTAGCCTGGAAGAAGCAAGCACATTCAGCTAAAAATGACCTTCTCAAGGTTAATAAATTGGGATCTAATTCCTACAACCACAGCCCTCTACAACAGGACAGGTTTGCTCTAGACTAAGATTCCTTTATATCAGAAAGACATAGAACCCTTCTACCTGATCATCCCCAAAGGGTTGTCTCAAACCCTGGCCCAAGAGAGTCACAGGGTGTCCGAGGAGGCACTTCTAATTAAGGCCCTAATTACTTAATCGATCCAATTAACAGCTTAATCATAACTGATAAGACCTTTAGCTCCTGATTGGAGACCGCTCTAGCACTTTCAAGGATAGCGACTCACTATAACTACGGCTGGAAATGTCGCAGTCTTGGGCGGCTTACTCATGGGTGCCCCCTTCTGACCGCAGGAAGGAGGTGGAGTGGAACGCCGAGGACAGAGATTGTGCGGACCTGAGGGGCAATGCCGACTTCTTCGCCATGAGCTGCGAAGACCAGGGACCCTTCATCTGCGAAAAGCCAGTTTTCCCCTGGACTCCAGGCAAGCCCAGCAGGATGCACCATTGCGGGGAGAGAGAGCAGAGAAACTGTGAGGGGGCACAGGGCCGGGACAGCTGGGGCTCCCACCGATGACAACCCAACCAGCCAGACCT